GCAGCTGGGAAAGCCACAGAAGCTGGTGTGGAGGCAGGCCATGGTGTCAGGAGTGGGACTGAGAGCTGGGTACCTTGGAGACGTTTCTAGGTTTGAGCTGTGACTTCCACCTGGGGCCTTTTATAATCCTTGGAGAGCTACTATTTACATAATTTCCCAGTGTCTTCCTTGTTTGTGTTTAAATAATTTGCTTCTGCATGTTGTTTGGTCTGCCCCTGAGTTATTTGTGCAATCTTCTGAAAGCCTTTAAAAGTTGATTTTATTGGTCTTCAATTAGGATTCTTCTTCACGGCCAAGTAGTCATTAGGGCTCATTTGGCATATAATGCCTAATCGGCCATATTCGAATGTTTGGAAACGGAGTGTGGTAGCAATTGTACAATTCTGCTCGATGTGATTGAACTGTGGAACAATGTGATCTACGTATTAACTCCCAGTTAATAATAGGGGTTGGGGGGGGGAGGAGCACAAACAAGAAGTTAAAAGAACATTTTTTTGCTTGTTGCCCAACTAATAATGGACTGATACCTCATGTGAGTGTCAATATTACTCAGTGTTGACGATACTGATTGGGCTGTGTGTCTCACCCCACAGCGAATCACCTGCAACAGGGCCATGATGCCGACTGCTTCTCTACCTCTCTCACCCTCACTTAGAGGCTGAGGGACTTGGTTTAGATTCTGCTGACCAGCAAGGGATAATTTGTTTTTGCTTTATTTCCCCTCCAGGAATAGGAAATGTGAATACATTGTTATTAAAGGTAACTTATTTATTTGAGTATTTATTATGTGTCTAAATGGTTCTAAGTATTTTGTTGGTACCAATTCATTTATTCCCAAGAGGTAACTAAGAGCTCCATTCCCATTATCTACATGACAAAACTGAACTACAAACCGATTTAAACAACTTGCCCACGTTTACACTAGTACAGGGGTGAATCGGATTTGAATCCATACCAACTAACTCCAGAGTTAAATTCTTTGAACCAGTATTGGCAACTCCCTCTTTTTTGATCTAAGCAGCAATGTTAAGGAAAATCAGAGGAAAAAAACACAAATGTGAAAAATTCCCCACTTTTTAAATAGACATTCCCCGGGCCGCCATCCCCCCACACCCCCACCACCCCACCCAAAAAAAAGTGGTAAA